TGGTACTTGCCTTTCAATTACTTGTACAAACTTCCCACAACGATAGTGATTTTATAAGCAATTTTTACATTTGGTAAGTATTGAGTAAAAATTTTGGTCAATTTGGGAGTGACATCTTCAGTACAGGGAGTGATACAGAAGATATTTTAGGTATAGTGTTGGTCAGTAAATGGAAATCAGAGCTAAATTTCATATCATCTGTATTTTGGGGAGGGTTCTTGTGTGTGTTAATTATAAGAGAGGATGTGTTGAAGATGGTTCTTCTGAATAAGGATTTGAGGAAAGAATTATCTAGGAACAATTGTAAAAATATGGTAAGATTTTTCTTTCTTAAAACAGGGTCAGTCAGTTTACATACTCTTGTAATAATTTGGTTCATTAGATTAACTATTATGATTGACTTTTGTTAAGAATGGTAGTTGAGGTATCTACCAAAGGAACACTGTTTTCTACACCAATCAATTGTAATGATGTTATTCAGTTCTCTAGTGAACATTATATCAAGAAAAGAAACATATTAGTTTTGATGATCTTTTTTAATAGTCAATTGAATGTAGGAGTTATAGCTATTGAAAATGTGTAAGAGCTCAGTCTATACACTTAGTGGACAGGACATAATATCGTTATTATCTTACTTTTTAATAAAAGGAACGTTAAAAGGAACAACCTGGAGAACAATACCCAACAGATCGTCCACTACATATCTAGCTTGAATTGAGGAGATACTAGCTGCCATAGGAGTGCCAAAAATTTGTTTATAATATTTTCTTTAAAGAAAAAACAACTGAAATTAAACAAGAACTCTATCATCTCAATAAACATACCAATATCAATGCTACATACTCTAGAATTTTTATCCGTGTTTATGAATAGACTGTAGAACGGCATTTACATAAACAGTACTGAAAAGGGAGACCACATCCAGACCGACAAGAACATAATTATATCGTAAGATAGTTCTGCTGTTGATATATTGATGATAGGGCGGAGGATGCTCTAAAGCTGTAGAGAAAGCAAATCCTCTAGCAGAAGGAATACTCCAAAATCAAACCCTGGTCCTCCAGGTCGGGGGTTGAGGCATCGGGTTAACTCCCCGTTAGTCGGAAAAATTCAAACTGTTAAAAAACCTAGCGAAACGCCTCGGAATCGATGGATTATAGCACGACGACACATGCTACGGAAAAGGATAATGAATATTAGAACTTGGAACGTACAAGGGTTTAAACAGAAAATAAATGAAGTAATACATGAAATAAATAGACTGAACATAGACATCGCAGTGATTACCGAAACAAAACGAAAAGGTCAAGGATCAGAAAATATCGGAAAATATGATTACTTCTACAGCGGGGTACCAAAGGAGAAAAGAGCCCAACAAGGCGTAGGTATACTTATACGCAAGAAACTAAGGAGATTCATAACTGCTTGGGAAGCCATCAACGAAAGGCTCATAAAAATGAATCTAACTATCAAAGGAAAAAAGATTACAATTATTGAAGTATATGCAGTAAACGATGATGCACTGGTGAATATTAAAGACGACTTTTTTGAAAAGCTACATTCAGAAATTGCAAATATCGGCAGATCATGAGAAATTATAATCTTGGGGGACCTAAACAGTAGAACAGGCAAGAAACAACACAACAAAGTCATAGGCCAATATGGTGAAGAGGCTATAAATGACAACGGTACTAGACTAATAGCCTTATGCGAACAAAATGAAGAACTAAGGAGATTCATAACTGCTTGGGAAGCCATCAATGAAAGGCTCATAAAAATGAATCTAACTATCAAAGGAAAAAAGATTACAATTATTGGAGTATATGCAGAAAACAATGATGCACTGGTGAATATTAAAGACGACTTTTTTGAAAAGCTACATTCAGAAATTGCAAATATCGGCAGATTACGAGAAATTATAATCTTGGGGGACCTAAACAGTAGAACAGGCAAGAAACAACACAACAAAGTCATAGGCCAATATGGTGAAGAGGCTATAAATGACAACGGTACTAGACTAATAGCCTTATGCGAACAAAATGATATGAAAATCACAAATGGATTCTTTCAACACCGAGATATCCACATGGACACAAAATACCCGAGGGCTGAAATCAATCATAGACTATACAATCATAAGACAAAAGACTAAATTGATTGTACAGGATGTGCGGGTATATAGAGGAGCCACTTGCGGCAGTGACCACCATATATTAAAAACAAAGCTCACAATAGGAATAGATAGAGCAAGAGATTTAAAAGAAGCTGCAGAGGAAATAGAAAAACTAACAGAAAAGAAATACAACCTAAACAGCTTAGAACAAGAGAGCGTGAGGGATTTATACAGGAGTAGACTAGATAAAAAGTTAGAAACCATGCAATTTACCAGCAATGAAGAGCATTATCATTATATAAAAACATGTCTTCAGGAAGCAGCAACAGAGGCTCTCGGACTCCAAGTAAAAAACCACAGAAAAACTTCGTATTGGTGGGACGAAGAAATAGAACAAGAGATTAAAAATAAAAGAGAGAAGTATAAAAAATTTCTGAACACAAGGACCGACGCTGATAAGGTAGAATACAGGAGGACCCAAGCTAAAGTGCGAAAAATGATATGCCAAAAGAAGAATGAGGCTTGGGAGCAAAAGTGTAACATGATTAACACGCATTTAGGAGGACGGAGAAGTACAGAAAGTTGGAAAGTATTAAAATCGCTACGACACGAAAAGAAAAGAGATATAATATCATCAATCACACCGGATCAATGGGACGAATATTTTAAAAAACTCCTAAATGAGGACAGAGCGGAATTTTTAAATAACAGTGATACCAGCAACGTAAATATCTTAGCCTCACCATTACGAATAACAACAAAAGAAGTAGAAGAAGTATGTAAGTCTTTAAAAAATAACAAAGTACCAGGACCAGGGAACATACCAGCTGAACTAATAAAATATGGCACAACAAAATTATATGAAAACCTGGCTAAACTCTTTCAAAGATACATCAACGGAGCGGAAATCCCAGAAGAATGGAAGATATCATGGATATTCACCATACATAAAAAAGGCAGACGGGATTAATGTGACAACTACAGAGGCATCGCTGTAATGAACTCGATCAGCCGAATATACGGAAAATTGATTAAAAATAAAATCGAAAACGAATATAAAGATATAGAAGCTGAAGAACAGGTAGGATTCCGGGCAGGGAGATCAACGGTAGACCATCTGTTTTGTATTACACAGATTATTGAGAAGAAACTGGCCGTCAACCAGGAGGTGCATCTGTTATATGTGGACTTGAGAAAAGCGTATGATAGCATCCCACAAAGCAAACTATGGGAAGCATTAGAGAAAACCAATATAAGCGCAAATTTAATAACAGCGACGAAACAATTGTATACCAAAACTGCAGCAAGGGTGAAAGTTGGAAGCGGGCTATCGAGAGGATTCCAAATTAGCAAAGGCCTAAAACAAGGGTGCTGCCTTTCACCGACATTATTTAAGATCTACCTCGAGCAAACTCTAAAACTTTGGAAACGCAAATGCAAAAACATGGGATTACCGATCAACAACAATACAATATACACTTTGTCATTTGCAGACGACCAACTTGTACTAGCGCAAGACTACGATGATATAGAATATATGACAAGGAAACTAATAGAGGACTACAAAAAAGGTGGTTTGGAAATAAACATAAAAAAGACCGAATATATGTGTATCGGTGGGACACAGCAGGACCTTACACTGGAAAATGGCGAAATTATTAAACATTGCGACGCATATAAATACCTGGGTATGACTATCACACAAGAAGAAAACGTAGACCGGACGATAGAAGAAAGAAACAACCAGGGAAGAAAAGCAATTACCCTTCTCAATAGCATACTGTGGGACCAGGCAATATCAAACAACAACAAACATAGAATATACAATACAATTGTTAAGAGTATAATCACTTACAGCAGTGAAGTATGGCAAATAAAAGAAAGATACAAGAGAAAACTTGAAGCAACAGAAATGGATTTCTGGAGGCGCTCAGCAGGAAAATCAAGATTAGAAAGGGTAACAACAGAATTAGGGAAATAATGAATGTGAAACATACAATAGTAGATGACATTAGTACCAAACAGCTTAGATGGTATGGACATGTACAAAGAATGTCCGAAGAACGACTCCCGAAACAAATCCTAACGTGGACCCCTCATGGTAGACGAAAAAGAGGAAGACCCCGCCTTAGTTGGAGAGAAGGCATAAATCGAAGTATAAGAGAAAGAGAATTAGATGAAGACCATTGGATGGACCGAAGTGAGTGGCGACTAGGCATCGGAAGACGTAGGAGAACGTTTTTAAAACCGATATATATATATATATATATATATATATATATATATATATATATATATATATATATATATATAGATAGTTCTGCTAAACTTGAAAACATAAAAAGTATTTCTGATGTAGTTATCATTATTCGAATCATAAGTATAAGTTTAAATATTAGTGAGAAAGCCAGATATATGTTTAGTAGGTGAGCCTATGAAGGAAACTATAAGTCTCGTAGTTAAGGTAGGTTTACGGGTAGTGTAGAATTTAGCAACGACACTTTTATAGGATGAGAGTTACTTTTAAAGACATATCATATATAATTTTTTTGGACGAATATTCTTCAGTTAAAATTGATTTCATGTATTCGAATAAACTATCTTACAACTATCCGAAGTAGAAATTAAAAATCGAATAAACTTATTTTAAAGTACAATTTGTGATTTATTTTCAACAAAAATAGTAAACTGCATTAAGATGACCAAAGAAAACATCTTCATAACAATATCAAAATGAACAATATTATAAACTTTAGACATAATTTTTAAGGCATCAAGTTAAAGATTTACTGAAATAGTGTCTTACCAGGTGTCAGATATTGTCGTAGACAATAAGAAAATATCAAATATATTGATAAAAAGCTATGATAATAAATACTTTTTTTACCTTGAATATTGTGTTCTTCTTGAAACTTTTTAAATTCCTTAAAAACCCGTTCATACATCAATATTTCCCTTTTATAAACATTAAAATGGGAATCTTTGGCTTCTTTTTTCCTTTTTTTATGTGACGACTTTAAAATTAGATCCAAACTTTTTTCCTTATTTTTGATGGTAATAGCGGTAAGAATTCCAGAGAAGTTATCTCCTTTGTTGGATCCAGAACTGGCTAATATCTCATATTCGGTAAATCCATTTTCACTAGCAATATGGTCTAATAATGCCTTGTGTTCTTCAACGATCTCCATTTCGGTGGATACGATTATAGCAATAAAAATGTCTTCAAATTAAATTGTATATATAAATGTATGCAAAGCAAGAAATTTTCTTGTATTCTGTCCCCGCGATCTTTTATTATATATGTTAAGATAAGATAGATATCAAAGTGTACCTTAAACTAATAAGATAATCATTGTATACATCAAATTTACAAAATACTTAAAAAGCAAATTCCTTTCTAAGATTTTAAATGCAACACTAACATTAGTCATGCTATTTTACAATCTATTTTATTAAAACATACATAATATCATTATCCACAACATCATACATAATTTATTCGACGTCAATTGTCAAGAATCTGAGAAAGTTACTCAGGGATTTTTTAGAAAAATATTTTGCTTAGATTACAATAATGGACTCTCTTACCCTGGCATGGATGAATGTAGTACCTGCCTAGAATTAAAAAACCTTATCCAGGTGGGAAAATCGGAGAAAGTAAAATGGTATCTACAAATAAAAATGGAGTTACACAAGAAACAGGCGAAAGCCTTCATCCAACAACCTCGAGAAAACCACAACGATGTTTTATTTTGAGCTTTGATTTTCAGAAGAACCTTGTTTTGCCAGGGGTGACTGACCAAAGTGCAAACTATTCACGACAGTTTTACTGTTATAACCTTTGAGTAGTTAAAGGATTGTCAAATGAATCCCTAAATCCTAGTACTATCTCAATTTATACCTGGACGGAAAACGAAGCAAAGAAATTATCCGACGAGGTTGCTTCCATTGTATTCAATGAGTTGAGATCAGCTGATCTCAACTCAACTCAATTCTTTAGTGTCTGATAATTCATCATCATCATCAATCAGCCAATCGCGTCCACTGCTGGACATAGGCCTCCCTCAGTTCTTTCCAGTGTTCTCTACACTGGGCCGCTTGTAGCCAGTTTCCCGCTACACGTTTAATGTCATCGGTCCATCTAGTCGGTGGTCGTCCTCGGCTTCTTTTATAATTTCTGGGCCTCCATTCCATAATACGTCTTGTCCACCGTCCATCTTGTGTTCTGGCTAAGTGCCCTGCCCAGTTACACTTAAGCGTCGTGGTTCTTTCGATGACGTCTTGAACTCCTGATCTTCGCCTGATTTGTTGGTTTGTTATGTGGTCTCGAAGGCTCACGTTCAGCATTGCACGTTCCATGGCTCGTTGTGTAACTCGAAGTTTATTCGCAGATTTTTGCGTGAGTGTTAAAGTCTCTGCTCCATAAGTTTGTACAGGTAAAACACATTGGTTATAAACCTTTCGCTTGAGACACATGGGAATTGAACTTTTTAGAATATGGCTTAATTTGCCAAATGCTGCCCATGTTAGACCTATTCGCCTCTGTATTTCATGTGTTTGATTGTCTCTGCTTATTTTGATTTCGTGTCCCAGATATTTGTGTCTGTTTGTTGTATGGTATTATTGTCAATAGTTATATTTCCACTCATTACGAGATTTGTTATAATTTTAGTTTTCTCAAAGTTTATCTTTAATCCTGCTCTTTCAGACAGACTTTTAAGCGAATGGATCATAGTAACTGTATCATGTAAGTTATCTGCGATTAATACATCATCTGCAAACCTTAGATGATTTAATCTTTCTCCATCTATATTGATGCCTATATCTTGCCATTGAGTACCCTTAAATATTGACTCTAGAGCTGCCGTGAATAATTTTCGTGAAATATTGTCTCCTTGTCTAACTCCTCGACCTAAGCTGAATTTTTCTGTGTCTTCGTGCAGTCGTATACTTGATGTAGCGTTCTGATAGATGTTTTTGATTAGTGTCGTGTACCTGTAATCTATTCGGCTTTGATTTAGGGCTTCCAATATTGTTTCAAACTCTACAGAATCAAAAGCCTTCTCGTAATCGACAAATGCAAGAACCAGTGGTATGTTGTACTCGATGCAATTTTCTATTAAGATCTTTATGGTATGCAAATGGTCATTTGTGCCATATCCTGCCCTGAAGCCTGCCTGTTCTTTGGGCTGATAGAAATCAAGTTTAGGTGTTAGCCTCTTTGTTAAGATTTTCATAAAGAGTTTGTACATATGTGTCAAGAGGCTGATGGGTCTATAATTTTCTAATTTAGTAATATCGCCTTTTTTGTGTAACAAGACTATTACTGCATTGTTCCAGTCTTTTGGAATCGTACCCGCATGTAAGCATTTAGTAAACAGTTCGCTTACTGATTTTAATAAAATTTCTCCACCTGCTTTTATTGCCTCGATAACGAGTCCATCATCACCAGGCGATCGATGGTTCTTCATTTCCTTTAAAGCTGCTCTTACTTCTGACACAGTAATGGGTAAAAGTATTTCCGATCCCTGATTTATGAGAGTCTTTACTCGTGTCGAGAAATTGTCTTGTGGTCTTTGGCTGGTATAGAGGTCTTTATAAAATTCTCTAGTTATTTTCAGAATGTTTTGTTTATCTGTTGTTGCCTTTCCGTCTTTATCTCTTAGCTTGTATATTTCTTTTTTACTTTGCGTAAGTTTTATTTTCATTATCTTTAAACCTTTGTTCTCTTCTACTGTTTGAGTAATTACATTAGTATTATATCTTCTTACATCTTTTCTAATTTCCGCTGAAATTCTTTTATTTAGTTTTTTATATTCTTCTATGTTTCCCTTTTCGTTCTCGCTTAGGTTTCGTGGTATTTCCATGAGAGCCCTTGTATCTTTGCTAATCTTTTCACTTTTGGTATCATTTTTCTTGCAAAATTTGAGTTGTGCGTTTCTAACTGAGTCTGTTATTAATTTATTGTGATCGTCGATACTTAGAGGTTTGGGATTATTACGCTGTAAAGTTTCGGCTATATTTCTTATGTATGCTTCTGGATGATTTGGTGAATTCCAAACTATGCGTTTACAACTGTTTATCATCTTTGCTCTTTCTTTTTGTAGATTGATCGTTACTCCAGCTCTTACTGGTCTGTGGTCGCTTCCTACTGATAGTTTATTGAGTACAGTGACATCTTGAATATTTTGCTTTTTGTCTGTTATTATATAATCATATTCGCTCTTAGTTCTTTCGTCTGGACTAGCCCACGTCCATTTTATATTCTGTTTCTTCTTAAAAAAGGTGTTCATTGCATACAGTTTATGTTGCAGTAGAAAGTTGGTAAGTATTTCGCCTCTTTCGTTTCTTACTCCGATTCCAAAATCTCCGATTGCCACTTCTTGTTCGTCTTTTTTCTTTCCGAGTTTCCCGTTAAAATCTCCCATTATCAGATTGTAATGAGCCGGTTCCTGCTTTTTTGCTCTTTCGATTTCCTCATAGAAGACTTCGACAATTTCATCTTCGTAATCGCTGGGGGGGGGGGGCGTATACCTGGAATATTTTCAGAGTGTATCTCTTATTTAGTCTTAGATTTATATACATAACTCTTGGGGAAATGCAGTCAATGCTCTGTATATTTTTCTGTAATTTTTTGTGTACTAATAAACCTATTCCTCCAGTTGTCGATTCCGTTTCCCCTTTATTGTGGAATATGTTTCCTGATTTTAGTTTGACCTGATCTTCACCTCTTCTTTTGACTTCGCTAATTCCTATAATATCCCATTTCACATGTTTGAGTTCTTCCTCCAGTTCTGTAATTTTTTCATCCTTAGATAAAGTTCTTACATTATACGTAATTATGTGCAACGTTCGTGTCCGTGAATCCGTGAGGTTTTGGCATTTAAACACCACGCTTGCCAGGCGGGTTGGTGAGTTGGTTTGGGAAATTGGTAGGATAGTAGGTATTGGGTAGGAATGGGGTTAGGATATGATTTCTCTCCACAGGAGTTGAGAGAGAATCAAGGCTCGCGTAAGTCTGATAATTAAGCTGGACAAAATAAGAATATAAATATTTTAACTATGTGCTTTTCTGGATAGCTGTGCTCCAACAAGCATACGAAAAAATAAAACAGTCTTTCATTTAACAAGGCATTCATTCCTTCCTGCCGACAGAGTATTTGGGATGATAGAGAAAACATTATGAAAAAACAAAACAATTATGACAAAAGAAGAATATCATAAAATTTTTAAGCAGTATGGTACGATTAAGATGATTTAGAAGGGTTTGGGTACCATTAAGCTGGAAACAAGAAGCGAAAAGTTTTATTAAAACAGTGGCTTAATTTCATTTTAAAATTTCCACCTGTCGACAAATGAATCTTCGGATAACGAAATTGGGAAACATTGTTGTGAAAGGAGAGATGGTTTACAACTTTGACACTGGTGCAAATAGGAAAATTTGTAAGGCCAACTGCACTATTAGATAGATCAACCCAAAAAAATCGTATTAATGTGACCCTAAACGCAGAAAAGGTTAAGGAGGTAGCAAAATTGCTAGAAAAACATTGTGGAGTAAATTGAAGGAAAAATGGTACTTTGCAGCGGTACAAAAACATAATGCAAGCAGAACCTACAATTTTGTCTGAATGTGAGGATTTATGCGAGTGTGAAAATAATAATGCTGATTTTGATGGTGATCTTGTGTTAATTTAAATTTTAATGTTACTAAAGTTTATAAGTTCGAATATTTTACTTTATATATTTTTAGTCAAACTGCTTTGTAGGTGGGTACTAATGCAACTTGAATAAAAGATTTTAAAATTGGAATTTTCATTTAAAATACCTGTTTTCTTATATAAATGTTATAAGCATTAAATTTTAAGTTAGGATCAAACTGAGGGTTCACTGTTTCAAATACAATTTTTTTGGCATCAAAAACGGATTTCTAGCATCACATTTGGATCAAACATGGATATTTACCCATTTTTGTTCCAAAAGCGCACAACTGTGAGATTTTAATAAACAGAATTATAGCAGCCTTGTACAAAAAAACCAATTTATTTCAATTTTTCTTGCATGACACATGTCCGTCCATCTTTGATAAGAAGCCACTCAAATATTACCTCTTAACTATGCTGGTAAAATATCGTTCCCCACATTGGTCCTGGTGAGGTTCTTAAAAGACCCAATTATTTTTAACAGTAAAAACACAGTTCTTCAAAAATTAAAATTTTATTTATAAGTAAGACTAAGATCATTACACTTTCTTTTATATAATATACTAATCC